CTCGGGTGAACCATCTTGGGACCGTTCAGTCCTTGGGCCGTCTTGGGATCATTTTGGGACGGCCTTGGACCGTCTCGGGAAGAAGCTCGGCCCCTCGTTGGGCTGTCGTGGAACCCTTCTGGACAGTGGGGGCTTTGTGTGTCGTTCTGATTTTTTTGTCCGATGCTCATCTGAAGCCCAAAAGTTCCAGAAGCAAAACCACATGTCTACCTTTGCGTCGGCCTCCCAGAGCCTCGTGGGCACCTTGGGCGCCTTCTGGGGTGCGCGAGAGGCCTATTGGGGCATCTTGGTTGGAGTCTCCAGATGGTTGTTGGCTTTTGAACTCTGGTGTGTTGCCGCCCGGTCAGGTCTCGGGGCCGTCATGTCGCTTCCGTGGAGCGATTTGGGTCCACCTCGGGTGGGGCAACATCTCACCCAGGTGTGCGTCGGTGGCGGGGTCGCCCCAGGATAACTACATGTTGCAGACATCTTGTAAGCACTCTAACATACTCCTGCCATGCCGAGGGCACGGTGGAAGATATTGAATCATTGCAGTGAGCTGGAATCTGACTCCAAGGTGACGTCCCCATAATGATGCGAATCGGACTCGCAACACGTGATACGTAGTCTGCGGTTGATGCGGTGTGCGCCGTTGATGCAGTTGTGGCCGTGCATGAGCTTTGAATCACGTTTGGCGGGTGATGGTGCAACGAAGGAAGTTGTCGTTGTCTGGTATATCTGGTTACGCCATCGGATCATTGCTGATGGGTGCGAACGCTTGGGGGAAAAAGGTTGGACACGAGAGTCCTGCCCATCGACGTGTCATTCGCATCCTGGTCGCAGTCTAGTACTCGTTACATGGTTGTCATTTTGACGTTTTCTATTTCACCTCGATGAGTGGGTGTTTGTGTCAATTCACACGGGTGCATCGGAAGAAGGAGCGGTTTTTGTCACCAATTGCGCCGACAGAGCCCCTTGTTCCGCGAGGGCCTCGTCCCTGGCGCCTCCAAGGAGGCCGCCCCTGTCGTGGTGGAGAAGGAGGAAGATGCCCCCGAGGATCCACGTCCGAAGGCGTGCCTGGCGCCCCTTCCAGTAAGAACACACCGGCGGCGAGCCCAGGGGGGAAGTGAGCGGGGGCGGGTCTTCCCAGAAGGTTCGGAAGTCTCCCGGCCTCTGGAGACGTTTTCTTAGCCTTCCCTGAGGACGCAGAACAGTTTTCCGAAGGCCAGAGGGCTTCTGAGGAGCTCCACCGCCTTCTGAGAACGCCTCCTCCTTTTCACTCCCCCCCTCGCTCGCGCTGCCGAGCACATTGTCTGAGGATTCAGGAAAGGAGTCTTGAGAGAATTGGGCCCCAAGACTCCAGGGCGTTCCCAGGGACCAGCTCCTCAGCTCGAGTCTGGAGTCGTTTGTGGCTGTGCCAGGGCACCAGGGGCCCGAGGACAGCGAAAGTGATTCAGGGCCCCCTTCCTCCAGGGCAGGTTCCATTCAATCTGCACCGCACTGCCTGAGGACTCACAATCGTGTTGATATCGTCGTTCTTAGTGGGCCCCAGAACCGGCAGGACCGTTGTCGCCGTTTCCGACAAAATGCGTTTTGAATATGGAAACGGTAATGGCAAGCGGCAGCGGCAAAACAACAACGGCTCTGACTTGGAAGCGGCACCGGAGCCGGTACAACAAAGGCGACGGAACCAGAAAAAGAACGGCGCCGGAACTGATAAACAAAAACCGGACATGTCATCAGTGATCAGATTTCTTCCTTCACGGGTGTACCGATTGCTCTAGATGAAGAGGTCGAGGTTGTGAGGAAATTCGCGCTTGAAATATGCAGCCGGCGGTCCAGCATGTGACCTAGGCCTCGAGAAAGAACGAACGATCCAACCCAGTCCACCCCGTCACCCCCTACTCTCGTGAAGGACGTCACACCCCCACCTCCCCACCCGAGCCACCTCCCCGCGTTCACTGAGCCATCCAGAGTACTGATAGCGCTGGACGGCAAACCTCAGCATACTTGGGGGAGCCGTGACGAGGCGTCGCCCTTCAATTGTTCAATATGAGTCAAATGCTCCCCCTTCCGAACGTGGACGAGTAATGTTCCGCCCTCTCCGCGTCTTGCTTGTCCCACACGATTTCAAAGGTTGGTGTTTCCTATGGTCTTCTAAAATCTGGTCGTAATTGGTCCTTCAAAGTGATGGTGTTGCCGTTGCAGCATTGCGCCTTGCTCCCGATATTGAGAATGGCGCTCTCGCCCCATTGCGAGCCACTTTTGTAGGTCCGAGTCGTTCCTCGTCGTTGTCGCCCTCCCCTGGTCCTCCTGCTCCTCCCTCTCCTTCCACTAAAGCTCCTGCTGCTGCTGTTCTTCCTCGTCCTCATCCTTCCTCATCCTTGTCCTTTTCCTCCTGCTCATCCTCATGCTCATCCGCCACCTCCTCCTCGTCCGATGTACGCAGCTCCCGTGTCCGATTGCGCATAACAAGATGGGGTTTGGGAGTTCCAGATCCGCTATGCCACGCGTCGGTTGATAAAGAAAAACTCAGCGCAGTGGGAGGAGATGGGTGGGAGGGGTAGAATGTCAGATTCGGGGCGAGCGCACTTAGCTTGCCCCTCTTCTTTCCCCTCTCCACCTCAGCCCGGGCATGGGGCCCGAACTCCGATCACAGACGCAGGACATCCCGCCCATGTGGTCGATTGCATCGTGCAAGGCATTAATATGTTGTCTTCGCAGTTGCCTCACCGCGATCGTCGTCTTGAGGTGTGGGCCCCCTTCCCCCCACTCCAGAGCTGCGACGGAAAACAAAAATGAGAGGGGGGGAGGAGGAGGTGGAGGAGCGGGGGGAGCCGAGGAAGGAGGAGCGCGGAGGAGGCGGAAGAGGAGGCGGAAGAGGAAGGTGATCAGGAGGGGCCGAGCAGGAAGAGGATCAGGAGGAGGAGACGGATGCCCAGCAGGAGTAGGAGGAGGGAATGGTGGTGGAGAGGAAGGAACCTGTGGAGGAGCAGCCGAAGCAGCAGCACCAGGACAGGAGATCGAGGGCTACGAGAAGAGGGACAAGGGAGGAGGAGGATGACCACGAGGATAATAATGAGTGATACATGGGCGTGGCTAGGGTTCGGTCCAATGTTGCCGTTGCAGTTTCCTCTTGAGTACGGCGCAGTGAACGTCCGAAGGGTGCAGACAAGCGCACAGCCGGTCCTGTTGGAATGCCACGCGGTGGCCTCCACGGGCGCAGCACACCCACCAGTTTTGAAAGGACGCCCCGAGCGACTCGCTTTGTTTCGAACCAGTTTCGAACCGAGTTCCAAGTCAGGTGGTCGAGGAACTGCCGCGCGAGACGTTCACATCCTTGTTGTTCCACACCACGAACCGCACACCTATCAAGTTTGAAAGGATGTCACACGCAGATCGTTTGTTTCGAATGTGTTTCGAGCCCGGTTTCAAGTAACCGATTTGAGGAAGTCCCGCTCGAAACGCTCATCTTTTTTGTGGTTCGGACGGGCTCCTATGGTTTCGAACCTGATTTCTCGAATTTGTTTCAAGTTTGCCACCCGCGGTGGCGCTGTGCGCGCCCGCATCTCCGATCCACGCTGCGCCAGCCTGTCAAAATTGGAGAATCCTTCATGGAGCAGCATGGGTGGGCGTGGGGTGTGGAGAAGGGGGGCAGAGCTCCGCTAGTCAAAATTTCATGACGCAAGGTGGACAAAGGGTGAATCGAGCATTCTGCTTTGCGGGTATCAGGCTTGCGCTCGGGAACTCTTGGATAGCGTATCGCTCCGCCGGCTCCTTACCACCACGCTTCGGCGCGACACGCTATCCACTTCCCAGTCATCAGGAGTCAACGTCCCGAGCATTTTCGAGCCTCCCACCCCGCGGAGTGGAGCGGCACGTCATCCGCTTACAGGGCATGGCGAATCACCAAAGCCGCCGAGTCTTCACGCTGAGCAAAAGTTCCCGACCGTACACCCCCATCAGCCATTGTTTGGGCATCAATGGCCCGCAGACGACCTAGTTGACCTTCTGTGGCCGTCTTTTCCAGGTGTGCGACGCCTCCGATTTGCAAGCGAGAAACATTGATTGCGGCATTCCGCTCAAATTTGCCACTGCCAGCCAGTATTGTACTGCTTTCCGGCACGAGGAAGTTCGAAGTGGCAGATTGGGCATGCCCCTGCTGTTTCTGTGTTGGCTTTTTGATGTCGCCAACATCGCAGAGCGGATTTTGTTCGGAAAACGATAGGATGGGCCCAGAGTGTCCTGGAGAATTTCGTTCCGGAGTTCGATATGAATTTCGTGTGTTTGTGTGTGTCTGTGTGTGTGTGTGTGTGTGTGTGTGTGTTCGTGTCTGTGTGTGTGTTTTGGGGCCAGGAATGAACACTTAAACCGTCCACGCGAAATTCACTTCGTTTTTCACTCGCCCTTTTCAAGTTTTGCATTGACAGAAATCCACGCAAAAATCAGTTGCAGCACGTCTGCAAGCTCTGTGCAGTGAGCTTTGGCTGGCAGCTCTATCTGAAGGTTCAGCTTTGGTAGTGTGTGCTCAATCGTTCCAGCCCCCGTCAGCAGTTCGAATATTGGTTAGACGCCACTGTGGCAAGCCAGTTGCGACCTCGTTAGGCACTCGATTATGTTGCCTAGCTTCTCTGCTATCACCGAGACCACCGTTGCCTCCCCTCATCCTAGTTTCACCCATCTTCTCCACCCTCCTCCTACTGCCGCACGTCCTGATGGTATTTCCGTTCACGTTGGCGTACTCGGGAATAAAGGAAGTCTCTCGATGGTTTCCACCTCGTGCAGCACCCTGCTCGAGCATTTGAAAAAACCTCGGCTTCGCCTTGGCTGTGAAAAGGAGCATCTGGCCACCAATACTTGTGGTATCAAAGAACGCGCTCGAGACGCGCAAACTATGAGCTCAGCCGGGCAGGTGTCATCCTTATGCTCGCTCACATGTTGGCAGAGTGTCGATTACTCTGAGACGGCCCGAAAGGTGCTTGCAGGTGCCGCCACCTTCTCGGACGCGGACACCACCATGAATGCCATGGTCACCCAGGGTGGCAAGGATCTCCCGCCCGGGGGACTGATATGGCAGGGAGGGTGAACAGAAAGGGCCGTTGGCAACAGCCAGGACGGCAAGCAAGACAGCGGACCTCATTGGTGTTTGGTGCAAACACTTGCCATCGGGACTAGCGCCGCCATCGGCCTCGCTTTCCTCCCCCTGTTCCCGATTTAGTATCTCGATAATTCCGCTCGGTCTCTCCCTCTCCTCCGCTCCCTCTCCCTTCCTTCCCGTCCCTCCTCTGCCTCGTTCGCCTTCTACCCCACGGAGGATCAGGAGGAGGCTCTGGCAAAGGCGGGCAGGGTAGCATGATTAAGCTGGCAAGTGAACGCCTCGCACGAGATGAAGCGGCAGATGCTAAGACCTGGACTCCTTGGGGCAAGGATGTCACTAGAGAAGCGCACCACCGTAATCTATCCGGTCGGAAATGCATGATTCGACGCGGAGATCCCCATATGTGCATAGAGTTTTGAATGTCCTAAGCTGTGATGTTTCTCATCCCCCATGTCCTAAGCTGGATTTCTTGTTTTCCAATCCCATAAGATGAGAGTGTTGTTGTTACTCAGGGCGCTCCAACTCCTCACCCTACTCTCCTCCCTCATCCGCTTCCCCGTCAGACTCACTTACACGCAGACTCACTCATACCCAGGCGCACTCATATTCAGGCTCACTCACGTTCATATTCACTCACACTGAGACTCATTCATACTCAGACTTACTGATATGCAGAGGTTGGTTTGTACTCAGAATCACACGCTTACACTCGCCCGCGCCCTTTCACACTCAGATTCACTCACATTCAGACCGTCCTTCGCGCCCAGGGAACGATGATGTATCAGGCGAGACCCCTGGCGTCAGCACTCCCAAGGGGGAATCGCCAGGGGGTATATCACGGGCCCGTTCGCGCCCAGGTTGCGGAGATGTCTCAGGCGGTTCGCTTGCTTGGGTGGCCAGCTCCGTTTGCGTCCAGAGGAAATTGTGAGAATTTCTCACGCGGGGCGCTGGCTTCAGCACCTGAAAAGGGGAGCCGCTAGGAGGTATATCACGGGCCCGTTCGCGCCCAGGTTGTGGGGATATCTCAGGTGATTTGCTCGTTTTGGTGGCCAGACTCGTCCGCGTTCAGAGCAGATTGTGGGGATGTCGTCGGCGAGGCGCTGGCTTCAGCACCCGAAAAGGGGGCCGCCAGGGGGTATATCACGGGCCCGTTCGTGCCCAGGTTGAGGGGATGTCTCAGGGATGTCCCAGGCGGTTTGCTTGTTTGGGTGGCCAGATTCGCATACGTTCCGAGCACCGACTGTAGGATGTTTCACGCAAGGCGCTGGCTCCAGCACCCCAAGGGAGGGCCGCCAGGGGGTATATCACGGGCCCGTTCGCGCCCAGATTGTGTGGATGTCTCAGGTTGTTTGCCTTCTTTTGTGGCCAGATCCGCATGCGCTCGGAGCAGATTGTGAGAATCTCTCACGCGTGGCGCTGGCTTCAGCACCCGAAAAGGGAGCCGCCAGGGAGTATATCACATGCCCGTTCACGCCCAGGTTGTGCAGACGTCTCAGGCGGTTTGCTTGTTTTGGCGACCAGACTCGTCCGCGTTCGGAGAAAGTGTAAAGAATTTTCGGGTGAGGTGCTGGCTCCAGCACCCCAAGGGGGGGCCGCCAGGGGGTATATCACAGGCCCGCTTGTGCCCCCCAGCATGCGCACAAGGGCGTTCTGATGATTCGAACATGCACGCGCGAAAGGGCCGTTGGGCCCGTTTTGATGAATATGTTGAACAACGCTCGTTCAATCAAAAAGAAAAATAAATCGCAGGAGCGTGCGCTCGCAGACTGTTCTAAAAAACCTGGTTGCAAAACCATTGGTTCGGGACATTCGGTTTTGAACTACGAATGCGCCCTAAGTTTTTTGGCGGGTTCCAGCATGCGCGCGACGACGCGTGTGCATTTCGTTATGGTTGTTTCGCTGTGCAAGGGAATCTTGAACATGGCTGATATTTTATGGACGAGTGCGCTCGCATAGTGTTATTTGACGAGGATGTCGGGGGCCGATGCGGGCCTGGCCGGAATGGTACGGACTCATACTTCAAATAACGATGGGGTAGAACCGCATGTACACTGCACACCCCCAGGGGGTACCGATAACCCCAGAGGGGGTTGTAGATTTTCCTTTTTGGGGAAAGCTGAACCGACGTGTTGCGGTGTATGTGGCAAGATCCATTGTGCAGAAGTTGAAGTTGTCAACTCCAGCGTTCGCGCAAGCATCCTACCCTGCCACCCGCAATTTGGTTAGCAAAACCCATGCGGCGGCGATTGCGATGACAGCTTGGCGTTGGCTGGCGCATCTTTGCCGCCGCGCTGGCGCGCGCAGGCTCGCGCGCAGAGCGGCCAGCTCGCTTGACACAACCGACGCGGCCGCGGTGGCGCTGACCGATGGGGACCCTCCATCGCTTCTCAAAGGCCGCACTGGCGCGCGAGCACTTCAGTGCGGGTCAGTGATTCTGGCGGGCGCGGCATCATGGTGACGCCGGCAATAACGGCAACGGCGATGAAGAGGATAGCGACGGCAAGGCTAATGAGCGTGTCGATGCTAGTCACTCCGATGACGATGATGACATCCATGTGTCGCTGATGGGGTCTTTGGGCGATTTCGACATGCGCGGGCGGCCAACGCTTGCGAGTGGCCCGCATGGTCCTTTTTGACAGGGTCCATGCCCCCCGTTCCCACCCCAGCAGCGCGCAAGGGCGTTCGCATGATTTCGACATGCGCGCGCGAGGCCAGCGCTGTTTCATGTAACCACATTTGCTTTCGCAGAAAATCGCAAGAGCACGCGCAGACTGTTTTCGAACAAGAGGTCGAACATCATCGTGTGATTCAGCTATTTTCGAGAACCTTGGTTTTGATCTCCGTACGCAATCCAAGGCATTGGACGGATTCCGACATGCGCGCGCGACGACGCGCGCACGTGGGTGTTGTTCCACTCGTTGCAAAATGACCTTGGACGTTGATTTGTCACATACAAGCGTGAGCGTATAATATTCTTTGGCATGGACAGGGGGGTGACACAGGATTCGAGGGCATGACATGTATGCATATGCGAATCGAACGATGAGGCACCTGGAATCTGCAGTGTCCCAGGGGGCCGGGGGAAGTGGCAGAGCTGATGCTTTTAATAGAAAAGACAGTTTGCGTGGTGCAGTGTACGTGGTGCAGTTCACTTTGCAGAACTTGGCATTTTCAGCAACAGTGTTCGCGCAATCGTCCCACCCACCCACCCGCAAGTTGGTTTGCAACACCCATGCGGCGGCGATTGCGATGACTGCTTGGCGCTGGCTGGCGCATCGCTGCGGCCGCGCTAGAGCGCGCGGAGGCTCGCGCACCGCTCCAGCTCGTTTTGGCGCGACCGTCGCGGCCACGGTGGCGCTGACCGTTGGGGACTGTTCAGCGCGTCCCGCAGACCGCGCTGGCACGTGGGCATGCAGTGAGAGTCGGTGACTTGGGCGAGCGTGGTTTCATGATTACGCCGACAACGGCAGGCACGATGATGAGAGTAGCGACGAGGATTGCGATGATGACGATGGCGACGGCAAGACCAAGGACGGCGCCGATTTTGGTCACGCGGATGACGATGAGGATGTTCATGCGTCGCCGATGAGATTTTGGAAAGATTTTGGCATGCGTGCGCGACCGATGCGGGCGAGTGGCCCGCATGGCGTTACCTGACAGGGGTCGTGCCCACCCAACAAGCGCGCAAGAGCGTTCGCATGATTTCGACCAGCGCTCGCGAGCACCCCGCTTGGGCGCATTTGATGAACGTGTCGAAACATGCTGGCCTATGGATTCGCAAGAGCGCACGGATGTCTCTGTTTGGGATCATCGGTTTGCCAAACCTTCGTTGCATTAAAGTGTTCGGTCGACTAGATTTTGAAGGTCTTACGGAACCTTCGGCGTTTGAGTAAATTCGGCATGCGCTCGCGACGACTTGCGTGCACCGGCTTTATATGATTGCTTGCAACGGTTATTTTAAAATGTGTTTTTTTGTATTTGATGAACGATTGCGCGCGCATAGTATCATCTGACAGGGATGAATGGTCAAAACAGTAAGGAGTCTAGTTGGACCGGTGCGAGTTCATTTTTTAAGTGAGTGATGCGGCAAAATTGTAAATTGTGTTATCCCACGGAGAGCCGAGAAAGCCAAGGGTGGTGGTAGATCCTCATTTATGTTTCGACCGGACGTTCTACGTGGGGCAATATAAGTGGCGACGAGGCGGCAGTGGCAACCGCAAGGTGGCGGAACCGACAGTCATGCCCAGACGATGGGCGGCGACGAGGCGACGACGGCGGCCACATAGAGGCCAGGTCGGCCCGGAGGCCCATGCGAAGGGCTGCGACGACACGATCGATCGGGACCCTTTCTGGGAGGGGTAGTTTATATTGCGAAGGCCTTACGGCCAGCGCCGCCGACCCTGAATGGGGGACAACGACGACGACGATGGCGATGGTGATGACGACGACGACGATGACGACGACGCTGCCGCTCTGGAGCCGAAATGTTCTCCCAGGGAGGGGTGACCCCCTGGGGGGGGGGGTCAGAATCCCCGCCGCCCCGCCCCCTGGGACCCCCTCCCTCCGGGACTTCCCCTCCCCCCCCCTTTCGGCAGGGGGGGTATCAAAGGGAATGGGCTGTTTCCCTTTGGCTGGAGCGTTTGAGGGGGAGCGGCGATCGGGACATTTTCCGGAAGGGACAGGTGAGATTCTCCCACTACGCGGCATACGAGTGTTCGTTGCGCCAGAGAAGACAAATTCATACAGAGTCCAGAGTCGAGATACCGATGTTTGTTTTGGATATGGGTTCCATTCACATCAGCTGTTGCCTTCCTGCAGGGTCCTCGAACCGAGACGCTGGCTTCACTCTTGCCTTCCCAGCCCGGCTCTGGGCCTGGCACCATTGTTCGTTTTTGAGGCCGTGCTGACATCTCCCTACACGGCGTGCTGCCAGGGCAGGCGGCCATCCGCCTCACCACGGGCCTTCTGCTCTGCTCCTCCAGGCCTCCCAGATGGGGTCCGAGTAGGTGGGGTCGGAGGATCGCGCCGTATCGCCGATGCATCGCCGATGCGGCTCGATGTGGATTCCGATCCTATCCGCGCTGGCGTCGCCGATGCATCGCCGACGCCGGCGACGCATCGGCGATGCGGCGCGATCCTCCGACCCCACCTACTCGGACCCCATCTGGGAGGCCTACAGTTCCCCAGGCCTCAGGCGTCCTGATTCGTACTCGACGTTGCGCGGCTTTCAGGCCTCGGGGGGCCCGAACTCGGAGAGGCCGGCCGCCCGTCCCGACCCCTCTCGGGGCGCCACATGGCCGACGACGGAGATCTTGACTCCAGAGGTGGTGACGTCTCGCTCGTGCTTCCGCCAGTGGGCCGAAAGCCATTTTTTCTTCCGCTGGCCTTCTGCCGGCGCGAGATGCGCCGAAGGCGAGGCCCTTTTAGGAGCGCCCTGGATGCCTGGGTCTGCTCCTCCTCCAAAACTGAGGGTGTCAACTGTATACCTGCACCGGCCCTGTATACTTCATCCTATCCGCAGATGCTCACGAGGAGGAGGACAGAGGAGGAAGGGCTCAGACAGGATAAGGAGGAGGAGGAGGAGGAGCAGGAGGAGAAGGGGAAGGGGAAGAGGCGAGAGGAAGAGCTCGGAGGAGGAGAAGGAAGATTGAGCAGGAAGAGTGAGGAGGAGGAGGAGGAGGAGGAGCAAGAGGAGGAGGGATAGGGGGAGGAGGAGGGGGGACACGGGGGAGGGGAAAGGGAAAGGGAGGGGGAAGGGGTAAGCCAGGTGCGCTCGCGTCATATCTGACGTCCTACCTCTTCCTCCCACCCCTTACCATGGCGAAGATCTCCTCTCTATTCGCACAGTCGGATGTCGCAGCATGGCATAGCATTACGCGGCATAGCATGGTGTTGAATATCAACGCGTAGTATGACATAGCATGGGCTCCTGCGGCCCCAAAAATCAACGAATCGACACCGAAAATTTAATCATTTCCGATGTTGTTTCGGGGGGGGGGGGGGGGGCATTTTCTAGATGTTGTGGCCGATTTGGAAGGACCGAAAATCATGCCGTGGCATGGCACTGGAAATAATGACACCAGCGCTGCAGCGGGAGCACGATTCGGATCGAGCGGAAGCGCGGAAATGAGGCCAGCGCTGCAGCGGGATCACGTTTCGGAACAAGCGGAAGCCCGAAAATGAGGCCAGCGCCTCAGCGGGAGCAGCATTTCGAAACAAACATCCGAGCGAAAACCCAGTTCCCGGGAATCGTGCGTGTAAAAACGGTACGCGGAGGGGGGCCAGACATCTTCTGGACGTCATCAGGGGGGAGAGGAGAATAGTATTCAAATAGTGCAATTGTGCAGGAGGAGGACGAGGAGGAGGGGGAGGGTGTGGAGGAGGAGGAGGAGGAGCAGGAGGAGGAGGAGGAGGAGGAGGAATGATGAGGAAGAGTGAGGATGAAGACGAGGAGGAGGAGGAGGAGGAAGAGGAGGAGGAAGCGGAGGAGGAGGAGGAGGAGAAGCCCCTTCCTTTTGGCTACGAGGACTCCCGCCCCCTTTTCGGACCTACGCACACGTCTGCGCTCTGATTCGGGAGGAGGGGAGTGACTCAGCCCCCAGCTCCGCGCAGACCCTTGCCCGATAGACTAGGGGCGTGTGATCGGGTCCGACGAGGCTGGGGGGGGAGGAAAGCTCGAACCCTCGGCCAAGGCGCTGCGGCTGGGATTTTCCTCCGAGGAGACCTGCACCTTGTTTCTAGGGGCCAGGCCCCCTCAGCTATGATCCGCGGGCGGTTCCAGCAGCAGAGCTGTTTGCGAGACCCGGGGCGGTCCAGATGATCATTGGACCCATTCTGAGGGATAGATAAGGGCGGGGTTGTCAGAGGGATCCGCGCAGGTCTCAGGCTCATTGGCAAGAAACTTATTGCGACGTGGCGAGATGCCTGGGGGTGCAGTTGGCTCTGGGCTGATAGAGGTGCGCAAGATTCGCCATGAGTTGTCTTTGGAAGACGCCACCACCCAAGGTTTTGACTCTGTTCACTGGCAGGCAAGTCGCCTGGCAGACAAGGCTCACGAGGGAGGTTCGAGAATGGCGCAGATCCGGCTTGCGTCCAGGCGCAGGGGCTTCAGATTCGGATTCCTTAGTCCAGCAGGTCCCCAACCTGTATGGCGCTGCGGCCACGGAACCGTCAGGAGGAAGCCAAGGTCTCCCTCCCCCGTGTGCACCAAGAGAGGGAAGAAACGCTCACCGAGCTTGTCGGCCTCTCCACCCTGTCGGTTGAGCAAAGGTTCCGAGGCCCTTGGCGCTGCCTTGTTTGCAGTCAGAGCGACGGAGGAGACAGAGATGTCTTCCTTCGCTCGCCCAGCCCAGGTCGTCCTGCTCCTCCTCCACCTCCTCCTCCTCCTCCGCCTCCTCCTCCTCCTCCTCCTCCCCTCCCATCGGCTGGCAGCGTGCCGAGGAGCCTTCTGGTGCCAGCTTTGTGGGGGCTCGGGGCTTCCGTACCACGGTCAGCTCTCGAAGATGGGGCGGACTTGCAAGCCTGGCCTCGCACAGCGGAAGACTGGTCCACCTACTGTCACGGTCCGAGGAGCCAGATGGCGCCCCTGGTTCCTGGGATGGCGAACTTCTCGGATCGAGTTGCCTTGTAAGTCTTCCCGTGGGAATTTCAAAGATTTGTCCCCCAAAGCAGGCAAGAAGATGAGGAGGAGGAGGACAGGGAGCAAGGGGAGTGGGGCGGGGAGGGGGAGGAGGAGGAGGAGGAGGAGGAATAGGATGAATAGGAGGAATAAGAGGAGGAGGAGGAGGAGGAGGAGGAGGAGGAGGAGGAGGAGGACCAGGTATGGGGAGAGGGGGAGGGGGGGAGGGGGAGGAGGATGAGGAGGAGGAAGAGGAGGAGGAAGAGAGAGAGGAGGATGAGGAGGAGGAGGAGGAGGAGGAAGAGAAGAGAGGAGAGAAGGAGGAGGAAGAAAGATGAGGGGAATGAGGAGAAGGAGGAGAAGAAGGAGGAGGAGGAGAAGGAAGAGGAGGTGGAGGAGGGGGAGGAGGAGGAGGACGAGGAGGAGGACGAGGAGGAGGACGAGGAGGAGGAGGAGGAGGAGGAGGAGGAGGAGGAGGAGGAGGAGGAGGGGGGGAGGAAGCGGCAGTGGAGGAGGATGAAGAGGAGGAGGAGGAGAAGGAGAAGGACTAGGATGATGATGAGGAGGGAGGAGGAGGAGGAGGAGGAGGAGGAGGATGAGGAGGAGGAGGAGGAGGAGGAGGAGGAGGAGGAGGAGGAGGAGGAGGAGGAGGAGGAGGAGGAGGGGCGACGGGCACGGGCAGAAGGAGGAGGAGGAGGTGGAGGAGGAGGAGAAGGAGGAGGAGGAGGAGGAGGAAGGAGGAGGAGGAGGAGGAGGAGGAGGAGGAGGAGGAGGAGGAGGGGGTTGAGGGGGTTGAGGGAAGGAAAGGAGTAGGAGCAGGGAGGAGAGGAGGAGGAGGAGGAGGAGGAGCAAGAGATGGGGGAGGAGGAGGAGGAGGAGGAGGAGGAGGAGGAGGAGGAGGAGGCGGAGGAGGAGGAGAAGGAGGAGGAGGAGGAGGAGGGGGAGGAGGAGGAGGAAGAGCAGCATCAGCAGAATCCTCCGCAGATGCTCATGGCCCTCTCGGACGGCGGCTTTCACCACCTCCTCGCGGGGGCGAGGGGCGCCGTTGGCGCCGGGCTTGGCCTCTCCGAGCGGGGTTGGGGCCTCCCTCGCGCGCGCGAGCAGGCACGGTCCACGCGAGGCCCGCCCTCGTGGCGCGCGCGCGCGTCCTGGCGCGCGCGCCCTCGTGCACGTGCTGGGCGATCGGACCCAGACGTCTGGCGGGCTGGCCCCCTCTCGGTCCTCGGCCGGATCCGCCTCGAAATTTTGACTGGAGCTCGTTCGGGGAGCAAGAGACGGCATGAGCATACATGCTGGACCTCTGCGCGGATTTCTTGGGGCGGCGCTGCGGGCGCAGCCAGGAGTGGTCCAGCAGCGACCCAAGAAATCCGCCCGGACCTCCGCGAGTTCATGCTTCTGTTATTTGATGTACTAACAGTCAGTGCAATATTGCGCTAGTGAGATGTGTTGACGAGGACGGTTCGTCTGCGTCTGCTGGAACGCTCGCTTTGGGTAAAGATGCAGTGCTCGAGAACACGCCATGGACTGCTGGAGCGCCCACGCTCGGCAAAGGTGCCGTGCTGTAGCGCATGCCTTGGGCTGCTGGAGCGCCTGCGCTCGGCAAAAGTGCAGCGCTGGATCGCACGCCGCGGGCTGCTGGAACGCTCGCGCTCGGTAAGAATACGGTGCTTGAGCGTACACCATGTTTTCGGCATGAGCTGCTGAAGCGTTCCCCCGTCGTTAAATTGGGCGCTGGAGAGACACCCAGCCAGGGTGCCCACAGCGGCGCCCGCCCCTACAGGGGACTGGGTGGGCAGCCTTAGGCTGCCCCCCTTACAAGCGTGGCCTGCCTATCCGTCATTCGCCCCCGTTGCACGATGTACCGATGCCGGGAGTACCACAGATTGCGAATATGATATTCGAATAGTTTTGTTATTCTTCGACACGAGGACACATGTACCATGCCGCACCCCTTTTTCCTTCGCCATTTGTCTGTACTGTTGAAGTTTGTCGGCTCGTTGTCGGTAAGTTGTCGATCCATGCAAAGTTTGTCGATCCTTGCGTTTGTGAATGTTTCTCCGTTGATGCAAAATTGTGGCTGTGAGCTTACATGGTCGTGACCACTCACGGTAATTAGCATTCATGGATTTAAGATGGGAGGTCACTTGTCGGTACGTTATCGGACAGTTGTCGACATGAGTTCGGCGTGCTGGGCTAGTGGATGAGGTGAGAATTTTGCGAGGGTCGGGGGTTGAGAACAGAGGGTGAACATATGATTCATTGTTTCATCTGGTGAGTGCTGGTGAGAGCGCGTAGGGCGTGACAATAATTCGTAATATTTCTCAGCTGCGGTTTATGGTTGACAGCGGGGGGGAATGTTATTCAATGTGTCCCAACGGTTGAGTTGACAAGGGGGGTGGTAATGATTCTATATGCCTCAATGTTGTGAGCATGGTTGGACATACGTAAACATGTTGAGAATAACACGCAACCGTCCCCAATGGCCGAGTATCGTTGGGAGAAAAGTTAGGAGCAGGGGTTGGGATGGAAGTGTCGTGCAACATCAACGTTTCAGGCCCTTGTGGCGTTACGTCGCTGACACAAGGCTTTCAGCAGTTCGTTTCTGAGCATGGATTTGCCATCAGTTGCACAGGCTGGCAGATTGCCATCGGGTTCTTGGAACAGGTTCAGTCTGATCGGGACTGCCCACCTCCACGGTCAACGTGGTGCAGTTAATGGTCGCATACAGAACATTGGTTTGGGGCAGACCTCCCCCTGCCAGACAGAACAACAGCTGCCCGACAAACAGATATGATGATCATATCGGCCTGTTTCGGTGGCGGAACAGAAGTATTTTGAGACAGCCCTGTCATCGTCGCTTCTGGAAATCGTGAAACCGTTGCATCCACATCTGTGCTGAAGGCCGCATTGGGTATCGCACAGGACGAATATACCCTGCATCTCGAGCCAGGTGTATACGAGACTGGCTGTACGACAACAAAAACAGCGACTGCCAGCGGCTGCCCTTTTATAAGGGTATTGAAATACGCACCTTGGAGGCGAAGATGTCCGTTCACATCCTCAGATGTCTTGGACAGGCCATGCTTGAAATCCGTGGTGTGGGCGGCGGGTGCATCATGATGTGGAAGGCGGCGGACGGTTGCCTGCGCCACGTGAGTACTTCCCAGGGTGCCGGCGGCCAGGTGACGTCAGGCCAGCCGTTGGAACTGCATCACGGCAGCCCAGCCATCGATGGTTGCGAAATGCGCACGGTGATTGACGAAGAGCTGGCTGGCAGTCTTCCCATTGGTCGGTGTGGCGGCGCAGTGATTTGCTCATAGAATTGCAATGTTGATGCCACTGGAACGGGGTACGGCACCCAAGTCGGTTTTGAACGGTCGCGCCCTGTCCTGTGCCCCTGCAATTTGGATGACAATGTCACGTGCGATTTTAAAAATTCGAGACGGCGGTGATGCAGCAGTGAAACAATTCCCCATCTGGCATTACAAATGCTGCGGCGTTGTGCTTGCAGGTAAAAGAGTTAGTGATGCAGTTCGTGAGCCAGCTTTTCGCCAGACGAGGGATTCACCACAACAAATTCTGCATTTGAGAATGATGTTGGCATGGCGATCGACGGCGGCGCTAGGCCCGCTCTCCAGAAACAAAGCACATCCATTCATTGCAACGTGCGCAGTGGAGTCGCAATTTCGCGAGGTGGCGCCCCACTTCTGAACAGAAGGAGACTTGCGGGAACGTGAGCGCCAAATGCAGCATCAAGCTGTCCAACGCGTCGCGCGCTGAACTGGAGGCAATGTCGTGCATGGGAATTGCGGCGGTGAAACCGACCGTCGCAGCATTCGGCCCTCGAGGCCAGGAGTGGTGTTCCTGGTGTGAGGTGGCATAGAATCTGTCTGGCTCTTAGTCGACTACTGCGCAGGAGGAATCAACGGCTGGGGCGCCACCAGCGCATGGCCGATGGTCGGCCGGCAGGGAGAAGAAGCGCATGCATCTGACGTGGCGGCGGGGGGCGCGGCGGGAGGGGGGGCTAGCTTTGCGCCCGCGCCTCGCTCTCCAACGGGGCCCGTTGCTTGCGCGCCCGCCGCATGCGCGGCAGCGCCGCGTGCGCGCGGGTGGAAGACGCAGGCGAGTGGGCGGGCGCGCGCGGGCGCCCGCGCGGGCGGGCGCACGCGCGCGCGCGTGCGAGGCCGCCCGCGTCGCCCCCGATCTCGTCTGCCAGACCGCGAAGCATTCCAACGGCATCGCGTCTGCGCTGCCGCTTCAGCCGGATGGGTTACGGACGCAACGAGGGCCAGGGCGCGCCGCCCCCCAACGCGTTAATATGCCCTATGACATTTGACTTGCATCAATACGTCATTGGCTGCAAGGGCGCGCCCCCGGGAAGTTTCAACGGTCGATGCTCGAACGCTGAACCGACGCGGGGCGCGTGAAACAGGGGCCGGCGGGGATGCGTCGACCCCTTCGGACCTCCCCCTGCTGGCCGACAAGCGCACGGGGGCCATGCGGAGCCGCGTGAAGCCATGATATCGCACGAAATGACGGCTGTTTCTAACAGTCGTTCCATATTTGGGGCGCTCCAAATCCGGGCTCGCCGGGATGCCCTCGGGCCACGGGGCCATCGGCATTGGGGGGTCTGGGGCGAGATGGCGACCGCGAGGTCGCCGCTGGTTCGAGCCTCGCAGGCGAAGCGGCCCCGCAACTCCCCCCCTGCCTCGGACGTCCCGACGCGGCGGGCGCGGCGACGGCGCCCCCTGGTCGGGCGCCCTGCGCGTTCCACCGAGGTTCGGCGACGCCCGCGGGCGAGAGCGGCATTTGGGCGTCGCGCCACAGACATGCGGCAAGGAGACCGTTCGTCGTCTGGAATTCGCGCTTGCACAATCCCTATCCAGCCGCGCCGACTCGCACGTCGCGGAATCAGAGGCGCACTTCGCATCCAGCTTCTTGCCGCGCAAATTCGATGAGCAGCTAAGCGCGCAGCATGGAGAACACGCCGGCAAACATCACTGGGCAAAGTGCGGCTGGGCGCGCACGCCCGCGAGCAACTCTGCGCGCGGGTGATCGGCGGCGGTCTCTCGACGAAATTTTCAGGAACCGCGCGCCACTCGCGCCCCCGCCCCCAGCGCTGCCCGGTCGAGGCGGTTCCCTCGGCATGGTGCGCGGCCATTTTCGCGCCAGGCCCAGCGTCGGCCATTTCCCCCAGATCCCTCGCGGCTCTGACATCGAGCATCTCCAACAGACGCACAGGAAATTGTGGTACTGTTTTCTTCCTGAAATTAATACTTGTCCATCTAGCGCAGTGCTTCTTTTCTCCAGTGACATGCATCATGGTTCCCGGCTGACGTCATCGAGCCCTCCGAACCGACGACGGCGTCGGGCCCGTGCGCGCGGCCGCAGCATGCCCATCCATGCGTCGCTGCTCGCGACCTCGCGCGCGGCCTGCAGCGCGCTCTGGAGCGCGGGGCCTTTTTCCTTCTGGGCGACGGCTGCGCTCTGAATCGCAATGACTACTGGGCCGGCGCGACCGGCGCCTCCGACGCCACCCAAGGAGTGAGACTTTGCAGGTCGCGCCAGCGTCTACGAGCGCTGCCGCGCATGAGGGGCCGCAAGCCGATGCTCTTGCAGATCGAGCCCCGCAGCCCCTCGCCCCGTACTTCGGATCGCGTGCCGGGGCGGGGCCGGGCGCATCTCGCAGCGAGTCTACCGACAGGACATGCGCGAGCAAATTTCTTCTGCCGCATCAAGCTCGACGCGGGGAGATGTGATCGACTCTCCCTGACCGACGCCCCTTAGTCGCCGATGTGATTCGCCCACCTGCCCCCCTCGCAATCCCCGACGCGGAGGGACAACGACAAATTGCACTGAAGCAGCGCGCCGCTTTTCGAGACTCAGGCATGGCGGCGGGCAGAAATCCTGTCAAACAGTTTCAACAAATCCCGCGCGAACGCGCCCAGTGGAAAATGGCACGGCGGGGCCATTCACTCGGAGAATAACCTTGGGAAGCATGGCGTGCTCGCGAGATTTCGCGCGCGGCTGAAATCGCCCGTCTTCGCG